GGGCCGGGCTGCCCCACCCCACCACGCAGGCCGGGGCCCACCGATTACCTCTCCATTTGCCCCTCCTGGAGGGCTCCTGGCACACAGCTCTCCACAGCTGACTGGGAGTGTGAGAGGTCTGGATCCTGGATGAATGCAGCGGCCAGGCCCCATTCCCCTCCCATAGGGGCCTCAGACTGGGCCAGACGGCGAGGGGGGGCGTCCCTGCTGGGGGAGAGGCAGGCCAGGAATCAGAGCAGGCAGAGGGTCCCAGCCCAGGAAGGGAAGCCACAGACAAGAGGGCCACAGAGACCAGGGATGGAGGGAGGCGAGAAGCCAGGGCGGGCGCAGCACTGGGAGGGGCCTTGGCTCCAGGAGACCCACGGAAGAGATTATGGGGAACCAAGCCGGCATCTGAGTGCCAGGAACAGCGTAGGCACCCTCCGTGGGCACACGAACTCGGACCACAGAAACAGAGACAGACCCTAAGTTAAGTCACAGCGACTACTCATTTTGTGTCCACCTGCCTAGGCTGTGGCACCAGGTTCTGGCAAACCCCACTGGTTTCTGGAAGATACTTAGAGCCAAGGTGCACGTCAGTACACCCTTAGCCAAGTGTGGCAGGAGACTGTCAGAGAAACAGGAGTCCTGAAGACAGGCAGTGTCAGTGAGAGATGGCGTCAGGCAAGGCGCTAGCTTCAAGGAAGCATGGCTGCCGGAAGGGTATTGGCTCAAGGCTGCTTACACGCTGGGCTGCACCTTTACTGCCTCCAGCTTTATCCTTACTGCCGCTTCTTGGCTGTACATTCGTTGCCACCTTTATTCTCATTCTGGCTATTCTTCTATTGACCCGCGAACAGGGCACTCCTTTCCAGTCCACAGAGACGGCTTCTGTGAATAATAAAGACCAGGACTGAAGGTTGGATGTGGACGACGCCCCAATCAATCTGTCACCTGAGGTGACGCTGCCTCAGCAGCTCCTGCAGCCTCACACGCAGTTTTGCGGCTCACGCATAGTAAATACAGAAATTTGAAATTTCCAGATACAACAGGCAGAATTAACGAATTAAACCACCAGAAGGAGTTATCCCAGAAGCACAGAGTTCTAGAAAAAGGGACCCCTAATAATAAAAGGAAAAGAAAGATTCCAACAGTTATGACTAAGTTTGGTCCAGCTTATGTTATAGGGAATAGATGGTGGTTTCCCACAAGATATAAAGTTAGTGACATCACATTTCCTGAGCCGATCAATGAACCTTTGCCTTATACAGGCGTTTATAAAGATGGAAATAGATAGACTAATGTAAAAGAAAAAAAAGACTATCTTGGTACTCATTAGATTTTATGTAAAGATTAGGTAGATCTAGACCATTGTGGTGTTTATTATCAAAACAACAAGATAGTTTAAAATAACAATTAGAAATTCATGTGAAAAATATTGGGATCAAAATCATAGGAAACAGAGAATGCCTGGCTCAACCTGAAAGTGGTTTTTAGGATGGTTTCAAAGGGACTTGAAAACTTATGGAAAAAATAGAGTACAACATAAGTACAGCCCTGTCTTAGGTTTGTTAATTATTAAACATAAAAGGCTGAATAGATGATGCATTGTATTAAACAATGTGCTAGACTTGTCTCGCACCACTTAGCTTAAACAGTTGGTGGGATAGCCAGGCGCTGGTGGCTCACGCCTGTAATCCTAGCTACTCAGGAGGCTGAGATCTGAGGATCATGGTTCAAAGCCAGCCCGGGCAGGAGAGACCGTGAGACTCCTATCTCCAAT